GACCAAGAGCTTTCCCATTTTTATTTTGGAGTAATGGGGAAGTAATCAATCTAAAACAAAATAAAACAAAACACACCACCCACTCACCCTTCTACTCTACGGTGAGTGGAAATAGTGAAAGGTCTGGGTAGCCTCCAAGAACCCACTCTACACAGCTCATGTAGGCACGTGGCATGTCTAGATTTAATTTTACAGGAGGCCTGTGGGAAGATATGCTAGTATTAGGGGATTTATCCACTGCACCCTTTTCCCCACCTTTGGAAAGACCATCACAGCATGAACACTGAGGAGTTTAAGAGCAGAGATGAAAATTCCTTCTCCAGATGAAATTTATAGAAGTATGACTCTGGTCTCAGGAATGTCAAAATTCCCAGTGTTGGACTCTCATGAGGCTTTGCCTTCTACTTAAGAAAAAGTGTTGCAGTATAAACAAGGGACAGAAAAGGCAATGGGAATTAACCGACTTTCAAGCCCCAGGTTGAAGGAAAGACTCTTTCCATTCTTTCAATATCTGCCCCTGGGTGGAATTTTTTTTATCTCATAATGATGTAATAGAGTCAAATTTCTCCCCCAACTACTTTATGATTGGGTGGGTGGGTTAGGGTAGTGGAGACTGTGAAACGCACCCAAATGAAATCACTGTCTTACGTGTTCACTGGGCACCCATGCTGGCCTTGTCCCTCTCCTGCTCACCCATCTCCTTACATCTGACACCCCTTCTTTTTGTCAAATGAAGGTCCAAATTCACAGAACTGAAATATTTTTTCTTTGCCTAACTGCTGATTCTCATCCTTGAACTTCCTGTACTTTTTGCAGGGTGCCTTCTTCATGCTGAAATGGGTTCATTTATGCCCCTGCGATGTGTACCCCAGGCACCTCCAGCACACTTGTGTCATACTGTTCTTCCTAGTCTATTCTAAGTTTCTGTTTGGCTTACCTTTCTTCCTCCACTGTGTGTGTTTTGGGGAGCGATAAATTAGAAGGTTAGGACTATGCCTCATTCATCACACCCTTAGGCCTGGTACAAAGTTGGAGCCTAAATTTGTAAGAAGAAGAAATTTACACACACAGAATAGTCACCAGTAATGCCCATTCTCATACATGGTAGTATTTGGACCAGTATTTAAAAATACTAAGTAACCCTCACAAAGATGTTTTCAAGAGTGGTGCTGTGGGTGTGAGGATAAGGAACTTAAGACTCCGTTATTTGGGGAGGAGTCCTTATCAGTTCCATCTAAGGCAGTATAAGACACACAGTTAAAATGTAACCCTTACTCACAAGTTCTTTAAAAGCCAGTAATGGTTGATGCACTGGACTGAAATGATTTACTTTTTCCACGAAGCTTAGAACCAAATATATAGAAAAATGTGGTTCTGATACATTTTTTTCTTGGAAAAAAAATCCTTCTGGGGAATAGATCCATTGCACCCAAATGATCAGGGGTCAAACCTACAAAATTGTAATTTAAAGCTTCTGTCATTTGGAAAACCTCTAGGGAACTGAAATGCTCTCATAATGCCAAAGCAAACAGTTTTTCTTGCCCCGGGAAGCAGAGTAGAGAATGACTGCCTTGGTTTTAGGCATTCAAAGTTTTTCCACATATGTAAGGAACAGAAGATACAGTGCAACTAATGAGCAAATGGGTTCTGGAATGGTCAAACCTGGGTTTGAATTCTGACTACACTGGTCGTCTTCCTGAGCCTCAGTTTCTTAAAAAGTGAAATGGGGTAACAATAGAACCCTCTTCAAAGAGTGGTGGTAAGGATTATTCATGAGATAACCCATGTAAATCACTTAGCATTGGGAGCTAACGAAGGCAAATGTTACCTGAATAGGAGGAAATAAAGAAGAAACAATGAGGCCTCTTTTATCTATGCTAAGCTTTGTCTGCAGAGGGAAAAGAAGCGTGCGGCCTGTTGGCCAATTTATTGCTTTGTGATAGTAATGGATTTTCCTAAAGCTGTTTCCCTCTGATCATTAATAATCCCTGTACAGTAAAGGGCTATTGTTCTTCAGTATGAGTAAATAACCCTGTCAGAGGCACTGCTTATCTTCAGACCACAGCACATACTTCTTACTGGAAATATAATGCAGGTGCCAACATCGAAAGCATGCCCAGACTTCCCTTCCTATTTTTCTTCCTTTATCTCTTACTCCTTGCTTATCCTTTGGCGTGTTTTTCTCCTACATCTGTTATATTTCCTACTTTCTGGTGTACACCCATATCCTATACAGTATCATCCTTACCCAAATCGAATAACCTTCAAGATAAGCTGTGCTCCACACATCTCTGCCCTCTCTCCTCTCTCTTCAATAATAGACAGACGGTCACAGACAGACACACACACACACCCAATGGACTTGTTTCCTGTCCTGGACTCAGTTTTTGGTTACTAGAATCCAAAAAGGGAAGTGTAAAGCCACACATTGTTTTGCAAATCTCAGGATATGCTTGTGTGGTGTACTTAATCATACCACAGCTATTCTCTGAAACAGCATCTTTTTACACAGAAAGAGACAATATGGTGTGTCAGAGATAGGAGGCAGGGAGAAGGTAGATTGTATTTTCATTTTACTTAAAGGAATGGAAATTAGGTTAGGTCCTGTAATATGGGAAATCTCCAGAACACAGGGAAAAACCAAAAATACTGATGTCTGAAAGACTTCGAAATTATCCCAAACAAGATCATAGGAGGCAAGTATGCTCATTCTAAATATACCAGCACAGAAGCACATGCAAGATTATACTTGTAAGGGGAACTCCAATCAGGCTTTTGTAACCAAGAGAGATACAGCTCTTTTTCCTCTCAGAGACAGAAATTCTAAATGGAAACCAAGTTTTGGCCCCTCAATTCAAAAGAAATGGAAGTATCTGTTTCCTTACCAGCATATTTTAAGAGACAAAGTAAGGGTCAGTCAGAGGTGGTGAGAACCAGTTACCAGAAGTAGGAGGAGGTGTTAGACATGTGGGGTGTTATGTGAGCTGGAAATAGATGAAAACTAGGTCAATGCTAAAAATCAACCCCAGTCATTCATTCATAACTATCCAGGATTTCAACCCTTCATAGGAACTGGGGAAGTCCGAGAACAAGAAACACTTAGGTTTAAATTAACATTTAAATCCCTCCTTTGTGATAATTTCCTAGGGAAATGGATTAGGGAACTGACAAAAGAGCTTTGGTTAGAGCATTAGATACAGCTGGAGCTTCCTAGTATCTGACCCTTGATCCAACCATCTGATGAATAACCTCACCTTGCTTGAGTAGGGGTCCCTGCCCTCAAGACAGTTTCTAAATACCCTCCAACTATCAAGTAACTACCAAATGAGCAACTCTTCTCATCTGCAGAGGCAAAAGAGCTCCTTATTAGACAAAATTCCTTGAGAGTAGGAGCATTGACTGCCCCTCTTTACATGGGTGGAACGACTAGCACCCAGAGTACCTTCAAGCTCCTCCAGTCCAGTGCTGACCAACATAATGTATTTCAATGACAGAAATATTTTATAACTGTGCTGTCCAACAGGGTGGCTAGCCACTGGCCACATGTGGCTACTGCGCACTTGAAATATGGTTACTGCAGCTGAGGAACTGGCACTTAAATTTTTATTTAAATAGCTACAAGTAAAAAACCCAAATAAATAGCTACATGTAGCTAATGGCTCCTCAGGAACAGCACAGTGCTACAGCTACACCAAGTACTGCAAATCAAATGCCCACAGGTCAGGCAGATAGTTGAAGAGGAGGGGGGTGGGTGGCGAGAAGCTTATTGGCTCTGACTGTTGTAGTACAGGAACCTCAGGTAGTGTTGCCAGATTGTCTCATTTTTCAAACGAAGCTGAAAATCTGGATTTTGATGTCCAATTTTTATATGTTGGTAAGTAAATTTTAAAAAGAATTTAAACTTAAATCACTTTGTGGGATGAACGGGATGTTTGCATGCAATATCCGTCTTGCCAGTTTGTAGTCTCTAATTTAGGCCAGCCCCACCAGCTCAAAGAAAAAGACCTTATCCAATGCCCCTGCTCGTCAGTAGCAGATCCAAGACTGGAACCCAGGCCTTCTGAAACTTCTGATATCCTTTCTAGATTTTATGAATTTAACCATATCTAGTTTGTGATTGGCAGTGGCGGCAGCAGCGGGACAAAAGCCCCTTTGTCAGAATTGTTGAAATCCATGACTGATATCTTATGAATAGTGTTCCTACCTAGCTATAACCATATAGTGGACCCTACAGGCAAAGCTCTGTACTAGGAGCCAGCAGGACACAAAGAAGAAATAGCCCGTGGAGAGTCAGACATACAAACAATTAACAAGCAAAGTCAGGCTTGCTGTAATGGACACAAATCACCTGCGCACAAGTCCAAAAGCACCCACAGCTGTGGGAGGAAGGGAAGGAAGAGATTTGAGCCAGGGCTTAGACGATGAACAGAAGCTGGCTAGTGGGTTTGGATAAATCTCACTGATTATGAGTGAGTCTCATTATTATGGGATATTAAGGAAGCCTTCTTTTATCTCTGAGACCTTATCTGTGTCAAGGGTCTCCTCTGCTGGCTTCTCTTCTTCTTTGTGTAGTCTCTAAAAACCCCTCTACTTATTTTCCCTAGGACTTTTCCCCTGACTTGTATATCTAACTTCTCAACATCCTCACCTGGATGATTAATAGACCTAGCAAATCTAGTATGTTTAAAAGAGAATTTAGGATATTTCCTCCCAAACTGTTTTCCCTTAGGAGTCATCCTTGGTTCCTCCTCTTCCCATACATATCACATCCAATCCGGCAGCAAGTCTTGCAAGCTCTACTTCCAAAATGCATGATGAATTTAATTATCTGCATTTCCACGGCCACTACCCATCTCTCCCCTGGCCTACTGCAGCAGGCTCCTAACAGGTCTGACAACTTCTACCCTTCTCTATCTAGCAGCCAAGGGATTTTTAAAAAATGTAAATCAGGTCACTCTCCTTCTCAAAATCCTCAGGTAACGTAACAGCCAAACCCTTACCTTGGGCTAAAACGCTGTGCTTGACCAGGCCCTGCCATTTCTTCATCACAGACCACTCTGGCCCTTCTTTCAGTTCCAGCCACCTGGCTTTCTCGCCGTTTCCTTCCTCAGAACCCTTCCCGTTGGCTCTTTTCTCCATCTAGAATGTCCATTCCCTAGCTTCTCTCTTTTCTCGCATCTCTATGAAACCTGGTCTTGTCTGAAAAGCCTTACCCGAATTAGACTGACCCTCCCCCAATCTTCTACCACTTCACCCGGTATTATTGTCTTAGGGGGCATGTGGCACTTGCTGATATCCTCCTTACTGATTTACATTTTAACTTTCTTCTGCACTCGAATAAAAAGTCATGGAGCAAGGCCTCCGTCTTGTTCTCGTTTGTGGACCGAGGCAGTAAGAAGGAGGTTTGCGCTATCCTAGAAAGTCTCCGTAGCCTCTACGGGGCCTCGTTTGGGTCAACCTTCCCCAGCCTGACGCCTCTCGCTCCCGGAATTGCCCCTACTAATCTCCCATTTATATTCAGGGATCTAAAGGACTCAGAAAAGTCTCAGATGGGCCCAACCGGCATCTCAGCGTCCCCACAACAGGCCTCCGCTTCCTGGCCCTCGGGCCGCTTCCCTTGGCAGGTTCCTGAGGCCAGTGGCGATGACACCGAGCCGCCCTCGCGAGGCTGGGGTCACACAAGCACGTCTCCTAGCAACGTCGCACCCCCGCCCCCACCCCATCCCTGCCCCTGGGGAGCCAACCCCTTCCCCCAGTCTCCCGCGCCAGAAGTCAGCGTCTCCATCCCCTACACTCACTCTGCGTCAATCCTGCCTTCCCCCACCCACAGAAGCGCCGCAGCCTACCTCGGGCTAGGAGGAGGCGGTGCCGGGAGCTTAGCTGAGCCGCTGCTGACGCTGGTCGGGCAAGTCTGGTAGGCCAGGCCGGACTAAGCCACCGGGAGGACCTCTGTGGGAGCATTAGTTCCAGGTCAGGGGCAGTCTCGAGTCTCCCTTAAACTTTACACTCTAGCCCACCTTCCGCCGTATACGCAACAATATAGCCCACTTCATCCTTTCCCTAGTTTCCCTTATGCCCCTTTCGCTATCCTTTCCCCCCCCGAGCCAAAAAAATGGTCCAGTCCAGCTCCTCCTAGCCCTCCCTCCGCGTCGCTAGGCCTTTGCCCTTACTTGGCGACGGCTTCGTACGCCTTTGCGTACGTCGTGACGCAATCTTCCACCCGTTCCTCCCCGCCCCTTTTCTATTCTCCCTCCTGGAGCGGGCGGCCTGCGGGGTTACCGGAAGTGATGATGCAGGAGGCGATGGAGGGGGCGGGGCTTGGGGGCGGCCGCCGCCGGTGGGCCGCAGATGAAGAGGAGGCGGCGGCAGTGGTGGAAGAAGAGGAGGCGGCGGCGCGGGTAGAGAGCCTGGAAACGCGAGCGGGGATGGTAGGTGGTTTGGACCTGCCGGGCCGCCGTCGTTTCCAGAAAGGGTTTGACTGGAGGAACCTCTGGAGCAGCTGTGAGTTTGGGGGGGTTTAAGGAGAAGCGGGGAACATTGAGAGATGAAGGGGCGGGGGTTGGGTACCTTCGAGAAAAGGGGGTGGAAGGGGAGGAGTGGAAATCAGCTCCTTGTCTGGACTGGTCCCTTTGGAAGAGGCTGTGAGGGGAGCCTGTGGCGTGTCAGCCGCAGGGCTCAAGAAAACTTAACCTACTGTCCCTGCCTCCCCACCGCCGGCACCCCTCAACCCAGGCCTGGGGATCTGGGGCTGGAGCTGCCCTGGAGAGGGTGCAGACTCTGGTCCTATGGCCCGGGTAAGCGCTGTGAGGTGGGAGTCCAAGCGGGAGGTGGTGGGTGAATCTCCAGCTCCCTCCGCCCTCATTTTCCTCCCCACCCCCATCCTTCTTTTTAATCATTAACAGCCGTGGAATTAAGGGGCTCAGACCTGAAGGCCTTTCTGTGCACCTTTGCTATAAACGATAACCATCTGTGCCTGAGGTAATGGGGCTGGAAGCTTTGCCTGTATCCTGTATAGGAAGTGGGACGGGGTGACAGATGTATTGTTTTTTTCCATTCCCCTTCACCCCTTACCTTACCCCATATACATCCCTCGTTTCCACCTCAGTTCTCTGTGGCTAGGTGGTAATCTTGGTGGGTTTTGGTGGTTTTTTTTTTTTTCCCTTTATGGCACTTGGTACCTTGGTTACCTCTTTTGAATTTGGTGTTCAGCCTCTATCCCAGATCTTAACTGCAAGCTTTGTAATACTTCAGTTACAGGCTGTGTCACATTGGGAGTACCTCTCAATGCCTGGTAGCTCCAAATTAAGATGAGCATTTTCTCCTATGAATACTGGAATTCCAAAGTCCTTGCAAGGATTCCTAAATGGCATCATAGCCCAGGAATCAAAGTCTCTTGTTCTAAATACTTTATGTGTGAGGAATTTACATGTTGTCAACTCTTTCCAAAATGATTTGATGTTAAGCTAATTCTGGATTTCTGTGTTTCTCTCCACCCACACTTCATGATGCACTTCAGAGAACAGAAAACCCCATATTACTTTTTTGTTTCTGCAATTGGACAATAGCTCTTTTATCTTTTTCTCCGTTTGTGTGTCGGGCACACAAGTCTTCAGTGACACATTTGGCTTGTGCTGATTTCCGTCTTATTTATTTAGCTGATTCTTTGTGTATAGATGGACTTAAATGAGAAAATGTGATGTTTTAAAAAAAGAATACAAACCAATAATGGAAAAATTATTTGAAGAAAGCAGAGAATGATTAGAAGATCTCTTTATTGATGTTCTGTTTAAAAAAAATCACCAAGTAGTGCTCTTTTAGCTTGTCGTAGGAATTTCAGAATGAAATGTAATGATTCCTATTTTGGTGTTGATATTTTCTTGGAAGTCCTCTGTTGAATGTGGAACTGTGTTTTCTGAAGGACTTTAAGAGATAGTGCCTAAATTTTAGGGATCCTTTGATTAGAGTGCATCCGTAAATCCTGGCCCTCTATAACTGAATTTATATGCGTATTGCTAGAGGAATTGTAATGGATCCCATCCTACTCATCAGGGCTTTCAGGCCTGATAAAATAATATTTAATGCTTTGTACAAGTAACAGCATGTTTAGATGTTTCACAGAACTATAACAAAAGAAAAGAATGACCACTGTTCTCACCTTAATTGATTTGGAACCAAAGAATTAAAAGTCCAAAATTCATTCATTCAACAAGCAGTATTGACCAGCTAGTAAATCCTAGCCGTTATTTTGGGCTCTCAGTGGACAAAGGTGAATGCAAGCATAAGGTCTGAGCTCTCATGGAGCTCACACTGGAGTGTGTGGGGACAGAAGAAATAAGCATAGAAATCAGATTTTGATAAGTGCTGAAGAAAGAGTGATGTGACAGAAAGTGTCTCATTGGGATGCAGTCAAGGAAGACCTTTCTGAGGAGGTGACACTTAAGTTGAGCTTTAAATAAAAAGAAGCCAGCCATGCAGATATAGGGGAGGAGCCTTCCAGGTTCAGGGACTGGCTAGTGCAGAAACTGGCAAGAGTGACTGGCTAGTTCTAGGGCCTAGGAAGAAAGGGATGGGGTGGAGAGGGTGTAGGGAGGTGAGGGAGAAGGGAAAAGGGGGGGGCAGTAACAGCCAGAGCCTAGTGAGCAAAGAGGAAATGAAAAAGTCTAAGTCAAGATTGGTGGAGGCTGGGCTCAGAATAGGTAGGCAAAATAAGAGTAAGAAGAAGGAAATAGAAAGCGATGCTCCTTTTTGGATCAATTCTGTTTCTTTTCCTAGAGTATTATCACTTACTATTTTGCAGGTACTATTGGACTATTGCAATAAAAGAAAAAGTCACCCCGCTGAGTGGGGAGAGGAGGCAAGGTGGCTGTGGTCACCTGGGTCTTTTCTGGCAGATAAATGTCAAACTGTGTTCAGAATTCAATGGAATGTTCAACTGAGAACACACTTTTTTTTTTCCTTAGAGTATCCTGTCATATGCTGCTATTTAAAATTGCATAACAAGTACTCTGCATATGTTCTAATATATGAATCCTCCTTTGCTTCCAGCCATGTATGAATTTAGGGTTGAAGACTGGGCAAATGATAATAACATACCCCTGTTGGTCTACAAAGACGTCCATCGGGATCTAAGTTTGTTTTGTAGGGAGGCAGGTTTTATGTTGCAATATTTCCACTCTTGTCTGGTCTGCCTGGTGACTAATAACACTCAGCTGAGGTGTAGGTTGGTGCTAAAAGTTCACTCCGTGGATTACATTAGATAAATGACCATTGTGGGCTCAATCCCACTATGTCGGCATCTTTGGGCTGGCATGTAACCAGGGGATGTAACCTACTTTTGCCTTCTGTTGGGACCATTCATCTCCAATAGTCAGCTGCTTTTCAGCCTCACCTTGACCAGATTGTCCACTTGAGAAGCCCAATCAGGACTCCTCCTTGATTTGGCCCTCTTCTGCCATGTCACAGTGCGCTGAAACAGAAAGAATACACTGTTTTCTTCTTTTGAACCCCACAACAGTGACTAGTGTGTTCTTTGAGTGAATTGGCCCTTTGAGCCATGCGGTTGAGAGACTTAAATATTGCTTGGGCTATTTGTAGTAAAGTTGGTATTAGAAATGCTAAATAAAACCTTTTAGTGTTTGGGGAAAAATAAATCAGAAATTGAGGACCCGTCACCTGTTTTAAGTTCTGGTATTTTAGTAGCATCGGTAGATGGATTGTGAGAACTAACTTGAATAGAGCCAGTTGGGCAGTCCTGAGGGTAATGAAGGGAGTGGAATAGAGCCTGGTACTGAATTACTGAATTCCGACTTGAATACAAATGGAAAGTCTTAGTTAGCAAGCTAGTGACTAAAGTGAACAGCTAGGACCTTGCAAACAATAGACTCCACTCTCCATACTGCAGAGTAACACAAGGGAATGGAGAGCTGATAATGAAATACATATATACTGGGCTTTGATCTAGATTAAAGAATTTTGGACTTTGTACGCTAACGCTGGACTTCAAATGCTCTAGCCAATGGGTTATTAAGGTGTCCACTACTCAGTGGTTTATTATAACGCAAGTATGAAAATATCCTGTAGGCTGAAATTTCATCAGCCAGTTTGGAGACTGGTGGCGTTTTTCTAATTTCTGAAAGGGGGTGGATGGGTGGGAGGGGACTTGAACACAGGGAGAAGCCATTGACTCCTACGTTGGCCGCTGATTGTGTTTGGGGAAAGACTCCACAAATCTAAGTGAAGTTGAGTCTTGGACCTGAGCTGGCCTTTTAATATAGGGTACCAGTTGATTTCTTTCTTAAACTTTGGGAGCTTTTGGACACACTCTGAAAGGCGGGCAACCTAGGAGGCCAGTTGATGCCACTTATTCTTGGAGTTGTGTTCTGTATTGCATTAGGTGACTTAACATGAACCTGATACGGCTACTGTTTTGATGTCTGTGCTGCAGTAAGGAGAGTTAATTGTACACTGGCTGCCAGTTGTTTTGAGGTGAAGATGTGGTAACTCAGATTGAAACAATGGTAATTATTTGGTAACTCCTATTTCCCCAGTCCGTGGTAATTTACAGTTACCTCTTGGTGTCTGTTTACAGATGTAGATACCAGTGAACCAGGACCAACTCTCCCTAAATGTTGCACGGTGTGCTGAAGCTGTTTGCACAGCGGACCAGGGTGTTTGAGTTAGTGTCTTTCAAG